GACCAGCGACTATGGGCAACGGCCTCAACCGCAAGCTTCCTGCGTGGAGCCTCGAGCATACGCCAAGTCCATTGCCCCGCATGAACATGTTGAAGGCCGCCACCGCCCCAGTACACAAGCGATGTTGGGGAGGACAAGAGCCGCCCCGACCTGTCGAAGACATGGCCACAGTGGTTTCACCCAACGCATGAAATCTGAACCTTTCTCAACCCTGAACCAAGCTGATGGAACTTTCCGAGACAAGGAAGGCTTGGCGTTTCGTTGCCGGTGCCAGGCCTGGCGGATGGCCGTCGCTCACGGCAAAATCGACGCCAGGCGCAGGAGGACTGCAGTGACGGGTTCTGCCTCCAAAAATTCGGATCTCCGTCCGAAAGAGTCTGGCGGGTGCAGGACTGGATGGATCGGCAGCCAGGCGCAAAGGGGTGGGGCCGTGGGGCCCTGTTGTTGGCCTTCGAGAAGTTAGCATTGTACAGGCATCAGTTCTTGCCAGACTGCCTGTTGACTGCCTCAACAGGCCCCGATACTCGCGGGACACCGAGCGCTGCAGAGCGAGAACGACCCGAGCTTAGAACATGTTAGTGCTGCTGCAAAGGTGCTGCCTGGAGTATCCAGGAGTGTTCGGCGTGCAATGCAGCTTTCTGGTTCTCTTCCTCTACAGCGCTTCTTTGCTGTTTCTTCTTTATTTGTTTGCCCGCTCGAAAGGCTCGGGCCCCTTCTTCGGCGCTGGCAGCATGAGCGCCACTTCCAAGGACACAAGCGGTTACCGCTTTTGTCTAGAGGGAGCCTGACACAGAGTCCCGATCGCCGCCGTCCCACGTCTAGAGCCCCTTCGGAACCCGGCTTAGAAATGCATCGGAAGCAACAATGGAACCTGCTCCCCTGCAAGAATGGTAATCACGCAAAGCCCAATCCTGAATACTCGTCGTACAATTGCTCCTGCTAGGAGTAGCCTCATCGGATTCCAACAACTGAAACGCACAATATGAGGTCTCGTCACCGCGAACATGAGAAGAAGACTGTAAACTTACTGTCTGCAATGCAAACTCAAGTCCCTTTCGGTAGGTAGTCACCATCCTCAGTGGAACCTTGGTTTGAACAGGGTTACACTGGCACCAAGCTTTGCAGTGCGCGGGCAAAGTTTTGAGTTGATTGCACTTAGTGCCACCATGCTCCAAGAAGATAGCCGAGTGGCAACTCTGCAACTTCCAAGACTCCATCTATCTTGTTCGTGCAGGGCAGCAGAGCTGTGGCCCCGCAGCACGGGCCGAGCGGTGTGTACTCAACTGGTGGCGCTCTGAGCTATCAGGCATTTATTGGAGCAAGACCTTCGCTTCCTGTTGCTGTGGACCGGCCCGAGGCCACAGCCACGCCGCGTTTGGGCATGGCACTTCAAGCCTTCTTGGAGGCACAGGAAAGGAAGAATTCGGTAATTTGTGGTGCCATGCCGAAAACCGAAGTGCCTGAACCCAGGTGGCTCTGCCAGCGGCTGCAGTGGAGGGGTGGGCCTCTGCCTGGCTCCCGGAGCAGGACTGCAAAGAGTCTTCAAGTGTCCGGTCATGCGCCGCGCTGCGATGCGCAGGAGTTGGCTCCATGGGTGGAGGTTCAGGTTGCAGTGGAGGCTTGGCGCATCCCGGAGGCTCAGCCCTTGGTGACTTTGCAGTCGCTCGAACTGCGGCTCGCCTTGACTGCCAGGTGCGGCAGTGCGGGCTGCAGAGAAGCATGTTTCCGCTGGAACGGGCGGTTCGGAGGACTTGCTGTCATTGCCACCCACGGAAATCAGGTGCATGGTAAGGTGCATCGCTGCCAGGAGTGGCCCTCAACTCAAGCCAGGAATGCTCGTGCACTTCGGGAGAACGACTACGAAGACGAGAAGGCTGAAGCTGTCATTGAGCTTTCCTTGGCCGCGGTGTAACAGTGGCATTGCAACGGTGTAGCGTAGCGATTGGCAGGCAGTGTGGGCTCAAGGTTGCGCACTGCCTCTCATGAGCCTCGGCGGGGGATGCAATTGGGCTGGTTTCCGCTCACCGGTCGATAAGGAGGAGTCAGGCCCATCATGTTTGTTTCATCAGTCTCATATAGAGTGCATGCCGCACTTCGGCGCAAGAGCAATTCAACAGCTCCCTCATAGGTTGCCATGGAGCTACTTGCCTTGTATGCCTGCTTGCCAAGGAAAAAGGCCGGCCGAAACCAGGCTCCGCTTGGCCAGTCCCTCATGCCTGATTTCCGTCCCATGGGACAGTTTTTACAGCGAGTGGTGTGTCGGCCGTCAGCAGGCGCTGAGCCAATTCCGAACTTTGATGGTGTCGGTGTGATCATGATGTTGTCTGACCGTTTAGCCATGCCGATCGAGACCCGACGTCGCCTAGGTATATCATGATATCTAGGTATTTCTGGTTTCGGTCCAGAGTGCTCAGAATATCTCGGTATCAAGAACTTTGTCTTTCTTTCCTGCCAAGCTCCAGCCCCGTCCTCGCCACCTTTGCACAGATATCTTCTGGGCAGGGAAGGCGGACAGCGAAATCAGGAAAGACTTCTTCTTACCTGACTTGTGCAAGTTTCGCCAGTTCCCACCAGTTCCGAGCACTGAGGATGTGCCCAGCGTGCCACGGACCTCTACCATGGACACTGAGGCGTCTTGAGAGGCACCGCAGAAACTGTAGAGCTGTGAAAGTCAGGGCATCGGTTTGGAAGAGCTTACTGTGCAAGTTAGTACAGGGCTTGCATGGGGTGGGGACAAGAATGTAGTTCGTCGTGTGCGCCTTCTAAGCAAAGGCTTTGGCGTCGTTTCAATCCTGGGCACAAGATGTGCACGCGGAAGTCTTTGCATGTTGTGAGTTTGCGAAAAACAGAGTTGTGCTACAAACCACTGACCAGCTTGAGCCATGTGTTCACTCGCAGGCCATGTCATTGTGCAAACCGGTGCGGCTCAAGCTTGCAAGTTGCAAAGTGGAGATTGGAGTGTCGGGCTCACTTTGAGGCCCGTGCTGGGTGTCCACTCTTCCATCTAGTGCATTGAACGTGGAACCCGCGGTCCTTGCGCTTCACGTGGTGCGATGTATTCCCGCACTTGCGATGATGACGGCTGAGCTGTTTCAGCCCAGATGCACAATGCCATAACGGACCAAAGGGCATGTGATTGACCATTCTTATTATTACTGATATTGATATTACCGCAAAGGGCCTCATCACTCACCATCATCGTCGCTGCAAGCATCACCACAACCACGGGAGCATTTCGAGTGAAATGTCTGTACAAACACGAACCAATGATGTATGTACACACGAGCAGAAACTGCCGGCAATGCCTGTATATACATCAAGCGCACACTAGCTCGGAGGCTACATGCCGTCGACGTCACCGCATTATTCAAAATCTTCTTGCTCATGAGCAGTTGCTGCCGTAATCTTTCGAAGGCGGGGCCATGCCTGCTGGCTTCGACTACTCGAAGTGCCTTGCCGCGAGTTTCCAAGGGTGTTGCAAAAGCACGGAGTCTGGCGCGGCACGGCTGGGCGGTATCCGCTCCTTGGGTCGAAGGTGGGACAAAATCGAACTGTCAGATGATGAGGACGATGCAGGGGTCTTGGTTGCCTGCTTGAGGGGAGTGGCTGAGCATCTCTTGTTATGCAATGATTCAGTCGCAAGTCGTCGGAGCAGCGCGCATTGACCATGTTAGGAGAAGTCCTGAGGTCCATCCCAACATCGACAAAGCCTCGTGGTCCTGCCCACAGCTTCTCACAGCTTTAGCACTGCATGCTCAGACTGTTCGAAGAACGTCTTCCACAAAGTCGTGCCCACCCTCACTGTTTCGAGTCAGTCATGCTGCCTTTAACAGCGTGTGGGATCACTTCAACTTCTGCTTGCGACTCGAAGCTATGCTGCCATGGCTGCTTGCGGTCTTCCTCTTACTGAGGGGGCTCCCTCCTCTACAGCCAGGTTTGGATGTAGGTGCGAGCCGGCGCCTCCTTAAACTCCGAGGGCCGTCCTTCTGCTACTGACACTGCTACTTCCATTCCTACTTAGTCCTCCTTCTCCCCCGCCTCCTCCTACTACTACTGCTGCTGCTACTACTACTTCTGCTACTGCTTCTGCTACTACTACTCCTACTACTACTCCTACTCCTACTCCTACTCCTACTCCTACTCCTACTACTACTACTACTACTACTACGACTACTACCACCACCACCACCATGCCCCACACCACGACCACCACCAGGACCCAGATGCCCGCACCAGCACCCGACCCCACCCGGCTGCTGCCACTTCCCGCCACCGCCTCTCTGTTCTTGTGAGTTCAAGAAGAAGTTCTGTTTTCATCTAATGGGTTTGGATGGCTCCCAATGGATACCGTGCAACCGGTGCAAAACACCGGCAAGACCTTGCTGAGCACTCGCGGGATTCCTTGAAATGTTCGAGTCAGCAGCATGGTGCACCATGTGCAGGAGGCGACTGCTTGATTGCCTCTTGCCCACGAGGTTTCGGTACAAGCACCAGAACCGTGTGGAAAAGGACGAGGACGAGGAAAAGAAACACCTCAGGCCCAGGGAGGGGCATCGCAGTTTGACATCTGGTAGTTGATCTAAAGCTGCTTGAGCCATAATTTTTATGAACGGCCAACTGCATAGCTAGTATGCCTTCACGAAAGTTCCGCGATGGTGCCGAGAAAGTCACTATTTTTGCGAAAGTTGTCTGTTTAGCCTACTTTCATTACTCTTACTCTTGTTATTGCTGTTACTATTGTTAAATATCGTGATTTTTGTGGGGTTGTTGCGATTATTTCTAGTATAACTACTACTACTACTACTACTACTGCTACTACTACTACTCCTGCTGCTGCTGCTACTACTACTACTACTACTATTACTACTCCTGCTACGACTACTACTACTACTACTCCTCCTCCTCCTCCTCCTGCTGCTGCTGCTGCTGCTGCTACTCCTGCTACTACAAGTACTAGTGCGGGTACTTATACGAATACCAGTACCAGTACTCGTACTGGCGCACTT